ATAAAAAATTCACAAGCTCTAGTTTCAGTAGGGCATACACCAATTTAAAGGGAAAATAAGTATGCTTTGGTTTAAAATTTCTAAACATCACAGTATTAAATAAAATTATATAACTTCCTTTATATTATTGTTTCATGTATCCAGAAGGGCAAAAAAATGAAATGAAATAGGAAAATGAATCTGGTAAGGAACTCTTAAGGCAGCGTATTAGTTCAATATTAGAGGCAAACTTATCATTTAATAGAGCAAAAGTAGCTTGTTTATTTTTCAGTAAATAAGATTTTGCCTTTTATGAGCAGCTTTCAGCACACCTGAACACTAGGAAAAAGTCTTAAGAAAATGGACTCTTCATGATGGTTCTATCAGTTTCCTTTCCACCTCCATTCTAGAATACATCTTAAAACACAGTGTGGTCAGGACCACTCAATTCAGGTGACAAATCTATTAACTTGAACACTATTTACTTATCTATTTACCTTATCCATTACAATATATGAGTTTTTAAAAATTTGGAGCCTTATGAAAACAAAAAAGAAATGTTAATAATCATATTTCAGTCAATACATTAATAGTGTACCAGGCAATATAGTAATATGTATTCATTTGCAGGTTTGTCCACATTAAGAAACTGAAGAACCCTTGGTTCAATACTGTCTTGATAGGAGATTCTTTGCTTCAGATAACAATCAATTGTTGCTGGTTCTCTTTTTGTTAATTTTATATTATTCTTTACATATGCTAGTTTGAGTTGTAATGTCTTTTTCTTTTACATGAATCATTATTTTCAGCAGAAAATTTTTATTTTATTATTTGCTATCTTACTATTTTTTAATTTGCTCATCTATTGTTCCAATATATTGCAAAGTGACTACTACAAATTATATGTTATACAATTAACAGCTCCTTTTCTACTTGTTAAGTACTGTACTTGTGGGTTGGTCTCTCTGCCCTGGTTTCTGTTCTCCTGCTTTCTTATATATCTGCTTTCTGGTTTATTATGTACACATCTGTACTCATGCATGTGACCTGAATATCCTCTATCTTCAGTGTTTTCTACTCTTAGAGTTAAATGCAAGTAGATGGTTAGAGTTCCTACAGGAAACAGATGGCTCACACACATTTGGGTATTTGAAAATAGTCCCAAAAGTAGTCATTATAAAGGTTTGTGGGGATCAGGGGAGTCACTAGGATAGTGTGGGGATCCAGACCTAACAGTAGCTGAACTATCAGCACCCACAGGCCTACCAAAGGGATGGAGGAAACTGAAATCCAGAAGAGAGTCATAATAGAGCAGACTGCCTTGAGGGGAGCCACACTGATGATAAGTGATCTTTATGGAAAGGACATAACTAGCTCAAGACAGCTTATGAAAGAGAGCCACGGAGATCCATACCTTGATACCTCTCTCCTCTCCTCTCTCTTCCTGTCACCTTCTTCTTAATCTCTTTGTCTCTGTCTCTTTCTCACCTCCTGCCAGGATTCCACAAAGAGTGAATCTAACACAAAGTACTGTGAATGATGTAGTCCATGAAGATCAGCCTCCTGAAGAAATAGTGCAGAATGAAGAAACTAGGTGAAGTGAATATGGAGGAGCAAAGATACTCTGTATCATCTACCCTTTTCGCCTTTCAGAGCCTAATCCTGTCTTCCCTCTACATGTAAACTTCTATATCCAAAGTGAGAAAATATGAAGTCCAATAGGCTACCTTATCATAAAAGGATGTAATTAATCAGTTCTTATTCCTTCCTAAAACCATAAGCATTCTTGTGTCCTACATATGAAGTTATAGAGAGGAAGAAAAAGTACGTTGTGGGGAAGAATTTATTAAATAATTTAAAGATAGCTACTATACTTGCATGAGGCCCAAGATGACAATTATAACTGCTTTCCACCACTAATCCATATTTCTTTTATTCTCTGTTTCAGCCAAATGAGACTCTTTACCTAGAAGATTACTCAAACCTTCATTTCTGATGAAACTGAGTCACAATTGAGTCTTCTGTCTACTGTGTTGCCATAGTTTTCCATAGACGAATGATACCAGACATGAAAACACTAAATGGTAGCTGAGGGCATCTTCTTGATGCTAAACTATTTATTATTGGTCCTATTGAGGAGCAGCAACCCAATTTTCCTTCAAGAATCAGCACTGATCAGCTTGCACTGTACAGTGACCCCTTTATCTCCCTGCTCAGTAGCATAGGAGGTTGAAATGGCCAGAAATGGTCTGTTTCCTTTTCTTTGGAACCATGACCAAGGCCAGGTAAATTATCCTCCACTGGGCAAAAATATCTCTAAATCTATAGGACTAAATGTCCTGTGGTGGAGAAGGAAATGGCAATCCACTCCAGTATTCTTGCATGGAGAATTCCATGGACAGAGCCTGGTGGGCTGCAGTCCACGGGGTCACAAAGAGTTGGACACTACTGAGTCACACACACACACACGTCCTGTGGAAGAAAGATACCTAAATTCCAGTAGCTGGAGAGTAAGAAGGTCACTGCCTTGGAATCATAGATCTGTGCACACTTCCAATGGAGAATTTGCCACCTGGTCAAGTGCTTATGGCATATTTAGCAGTCTGTAAGCTAGATCATGGCAGCACAGGGTTTAATTTCTCCAGAATCACTTTGACTCTTCAACTTGCCATTGCTATTATGTATATTTCTTCCAGATGTGACACATGGCAGGCCAAGTAAATTCCGAGGGCATGAGCTCATTGCTACACTTCCTTTGTTTTAAAATATGCCCCTGGTCTGTGATGATTTTGTGAAGTTTAACATAATAGTGAACAAGGAATTCTATAAATCCACCAGTGGTGGTCTTTGCAGAAGCACTGCAGGTCAAGAAGGCAAATATATATCTACATAATTGTCTATCCATATGAAGATACTAGAATGAGAACTAACAAAGTATCTGGAACTAGATACCTTTTTGAGAAAACTTATTTCACGAAGGGTTTTAAGAGTTTACTTTAGCCAAAAACATGTGGCACGTAGGGACTTTCTTATCTTCCTAGGTGGCATAGTGGCAAAGAATCTGCCTGTCAATGCAGGAGTGGTAGGAGAAGTGGGTTNGAAGGAAGTAAAGAGATACCTGGAATAACAGACAAACTTGGACTTGGAGTATAGAATGAAGCAGGGCAAAGGATAACAGGTTTTTGCCAAGAGAATGCATTGGTCATAGCAAATACCCTCTTCCAACAACATAAGAGAGGACTCTACACATGGACATCACCAGATGGTAAATATTGAAATCGGATTGATCATATTCTTTGCAGCTGAAGATGGAGAAGCTCTATACAGTCAACAAAAATAAGACCAGGAGTTGAATATGGCTCAGATCATGAACTCTTTATTGCCAAACTGAGACTTAAATTGAAGAAAGTAGGGAAAACCACTCGACCATTCATATATGATCTAAATCAAATTCCTTATGATAATACAGTGGAAATGAAAAATAGATTCAAGGGATTAGATCTAATAGACAGAGTCCCTGAAGCACATGGACAGAGGTTCATGAGATTGTACAGAAGGTAGTAATCAAGACCATCCCCAAGAAAAAGAAATACAAAAAGTCAAAATAGTTTTCGGGGAGGCCTTACTAATAGCTGAGAAAAGAAGAGAAGCCATCAGTCTTTTCCAGCATCAGGATTTTTTCCAGTGAATTGGCTCTTTGTTCAGGTGGCCAAAGTATTGGAGTTTCAGCTTCAGCATCAGTCCTTCCAGTGAATATTCAGGATTGATTTCCTTTAGTATTGACTAGTTTGATATCCTTGCTGTCCAAGGGACTCTCAAGAGTCTTCTTCAGCACCACAGTTCAAAAGGATCAATTCCTTGGCACTCAGCCTTCTTTATAGTCCAACTCTAAAGTCTGTGCATGACCACTGGGAAAACTGTAGCTTTGACTATTCAGACCTTTGTTGCCAAAGTGATGTTTCTGCTTTTTATTATGTTGTCTAGGTTTGTCACAGCTTTTCTTCCAAGTGTCTTTTAACTTCATGGTTGCAGTCATTGTTCTCAGTGATTTTGGAGCCCCCCAAAGTAAAATCTGTCACTGTTTCCACTTTTCCCCATCTGTTTGCCATGAAGTGATGGGACAAGGTGCCATGATCTTCATTTTCTGAATGTTAAGTTTTAAGCCAGCTTTTTCACTCTCCTCTTTCACCTTTATCAAGAAGCTCTTCAGTTCCTCTTTGCTTTCTGCCACTAGAATGGTATTATCTGCATATTTGAGGTTGTTGATCTTTCTCCTAGAAATACTGATTCCAGTTTGTGATTCATCCACCCCAGCATTTCTCATGATATACTCTGTATATAAGTTAAATGAACATGGTGACAATATACAGTCTTTATTTACTCCTTTTTCAATTTTGAACTATCTGCTGTCTCATAACCGGTTCTAACTGTTGCTTCTTGACCTACATAGAGGTTTCTCAAGAGGCAGGTAAGGTGGTCTGGTAATCCCACATCTTCCAGAATTTTCCATAGTTTGTTTTGATCCACACAGTCAAAGGCTTTACTGGAGTCAATGAAGCAGATGTTTTTCTAGAATTCTCTTGCTTTCTCTATGATCTAATGAATGTTGGCAATTTGATCTCTAGTTCCTCTGCCTTTTCTAAATCCAGTTTGTACATCTGGAAGTTCTTAGTTCACATATTGCTGAAGCCTAGCTTTATTCTGGTCTCAATATAGTAAGATATATTTGGCATGAACTTGTTTTTTCATTTTTTTCTCTTTCATTGGTGTTTAATTTATTGTTCTTATCAATTTTACTTTTTTACATATGAAAATACTATGCAAGGGGTAAGATGTTTATGGAGAGTTATAGTAATCAATCCAACTAAAAAGAACAATTTCTTGAACTCTAACGTTGGGACAGTTTGTCTATATCTTTGTTATTTATATTATTGTGTGGCATTGTTTAAAACTCAAAGTCTTAGGATAAAAATTAATATGGAACTTTTAGTTTAGAAATATCAAATGTTCTATGACACAGTAGATGACTGGTGGATATACAATTACATTACAAATAAGATATATAAAGATTTAAAATGTATAAAAAATAACCTCTGCTAAAATGCCCTCAGAAAATAGCAGCTTCACCTTTGAAATTAGCCATATTTCCTTCATAGTCCAGGCTAATTCTCATTTGTTTGACTCTTTGATCAAAAGGAATTAAAATCTGAAAAAAATATTCAGTATCCTGTGTAAAAGGATTCACAAGTTGGCATCAAAAGCTCAATGTAGAGAGTATGGACTTTAGAGTTTGACACATCTGGCTTTTAATCTTGTCTCCAACACTCAATAATTCTGGGCTCTCTGGCAGGTTACATAAACTCAGTGAGACTGAGACTTCTCTGCAAAATGAAAACACAGTATCAGGCTTGATGCCTAGCTCATCATTCACCCACTGTGTGACATTTTTGATCAAGCTGCCTCAACACTGCATGTTTTATGTTTCTTAAGTGTAGTGTTATAATGATAGTACTCCCTTTCTGAGTCAGACTAAGAGGCTAATAGAGAATCCTTCCAATATCCTGTATCTAACTCTTTATTCATACTTTTATATTATTTTTAAGCTTCCCATATTAAAACCTTCAGGTCCCAGAAAATCTGAATCCTCTTTAGCTCACTATGTTGGGAAGTTTGATATTGTTATTTTCTATATTACTATTATCTTTCAGGATTAGATGGAATTCTGCTTTATGTCTGGACAAAAATAGATGTTTAAAAGTAGTTGTAATAATAATGTTAGCAGTTATTATTGTTATTATTCTGTAAAGACGAAGTCATCTTCACCCTGATTGTACAATTTTTGCACACGCAACTTATGATACTTAAAATCTTGTTTAACCAAAACAAGTTCTCCATCAGTTAGTTCTCATTTGCAAAAATATCCTTTTGAAGTAACTATATGTATTTTGTTGGTTAATAAAAATAATAATGGTTATTTTCACTGTCACTATTGTTAGTACTTACTGGGTGCTTATCTGGTGTAAAGAATTTTTTAAGTGTTACCTCCAATAGTAGTGGGTCACACTAGTAATAGTAGTTAGTTCATGCTGACTATGTTTGCAATTATAGTTTTTTAATCTTAACAATGACTTCTATGAAATTAACAATGGGATGCATTGGTACATAGGTAAATAATATGCTCAAAGTTATATTAATATAACTTGAAGAGGTAGATCTAGAATGTGAGGCAGGTGTGTCTGTCTGACTATAGGACCTATATTTTTAAAACAGTAATGTATAATAGCTCTTCATATTTATGGAGAACCTAAAAGTATAACTATGTTAGATAGAATCACTGATTTAATTTAGCTTGAAATGTCCATTTTTTGTTTGCCATTTTGCCTGTTCAGTACTTATTTCCCCCTTCTTCAGCAACCCTGATTTTCTTTTCAGGTGTTATCTCATTCTCACTTTGGATGTATTAGTGGAATTTTTTATCAAAATGTCCTGCCTTCTTCCAGGGTCCATGTTAAAATTTCATAAGGCAGTGGAAACTTTCTCACTGGAAGGACTCCCTATTCAGTTGAGTCTAAACTTTGGCCTTAAACTTGTAATGAACAGCTTTGCTATCAGATTTGCAAATCCAGGACTGATTAGATATTTGACAACCACAAAGCAGAGGTCTGTAACAGATGTTTTTTCCTTTATTTAAAATTTATATATTTTTAATTTAAGGATAATTGCTTTACAAAATTGTGTTGTTTGCTGTGTGTGAATGATAATTACTATAAAAGAAACTATAAACACAATTTATCTGTGGTGTTAAAGGTGGAAAGTGAGACTCATACAACAATGCTTTCTGTTAATATTACTTTAAAAAGTTAATAATCACTTCTGGATGAATGAAAAATATCATGGTATTCCCTTACAATCAAAAAACTATAGAATAAGTTCCAATTAGAATAATATTTGGTCATCTTTTATGAAGTGAAAGCTATCTTCTATGATGTTACATAGTTTATTAAATCAGTGCCATGTTTAGGGATACACAAGTTCCTGTGAACCCTCACATTGTTAACACAGTACACAGCACCAAAACTATACAATAATCTCTGACAGACAATATAATCCACTGGAAACATGTAGCATCAAAAACAAAACAAAACAAAACAAAACCAACAACCTCTAAGTAGTCATAGATAATGCTTACATAATGTCTGGCTGATGCAAATGAGCAGTGAAAGGATCTTTAATGAAACTGTGTGATGTGTGAGCTTGGTAATTGCTGTGGTCAAATTCCTTAAATCACTGCAAAACTTCTGAAGAAAGGTCCAAATGCTCTTGATTAAAGGAGGCATGCTTCAGCAGATCTTCAAGGAGCATCCAGCTGTGTGGTATTCTATGAACACTCATAAGTTAGCTTCCAGCACATTATGTAAAAGATTTACATAGAATTTATGTTAATAAAGGGAAATTTTATTTGGTGACATATAGTGTTAATTTATGAAACGATATTAGCATTTTCACCCTCTTTTTAAAAATCATCCACAATACAGATTTCTGTAATAGTTATCTGCATAATATGTAGAATGGAACAGTTAAAAAAAAAATTTCATGTTCAACAACCAGATTGCTCCACCACATTATGTTCTGATGGCTTTTAGAGACCTGAAGAATACTCAGAAGTGACTCATAAGCAAACTGCTTTTGGTAGCAACACTTGTGGCCAATATGCCTCATGGAATAGACCTAACAGGCAAGTGGTAATCTCCTAATGAAGGCTTTAGAGGAGAAGAAGAAAATCTAATTCATGTGTGGCTTCAAACATTTCCTGGAACTCTAGAGATTATACTCTGTTTCTGGTAAATGGCATTTAGAAATGGAATTGGAGATACGAGGTACAATAGTCAGAATAGAAATTAAGTGCAAAATCAGAGAATGAAACATATTCTATCTCTAAATTTGCCCCCAAAATACTGTAGTTTATATTCATTCACCATATTTGTGCCTTTTCTCTATCACATATGAATATATGAACCACATACCCAATGGGCATATAATTAGTTTGGTTTGTGTAATAAATTAATGGATCAAATTTGCAGATTATCCATGTTAATATATATTTTAGCATGATAAAAGCAGTATGAAAATATTAATTCCTTAAGGTAACACTATATTTCTCTATCAATATGTTTATTAATATCAAACTATATTAACATTTCTCTGAATATATTACAAAAAATAGGGGTTTACAACCTGAAAATATTTTATTTTTCTTGGATAAGGATTTATTTTGTGAGTCTCAGCAAATATACAGAAAATTATTCAAGATGAATTTTGTATTATACATTAATAATTAATAATACATTAATTATATTCTTAGTATCTCCAGTTCTCTAGTGTCCTACATATAAGAGAGCACTTAAGATTTGTGGATGAACTTTACATTTTTGTTTCTCACAGGTTCTTGAAGAACCCTCTCTTTAATGAATATCATGTCAGTATCAAGGCTTCATAGTAGGCACATGGTCTAAAAAGAAAAATAAAGTCTTGAAACCCCTGTGAGAGGATAAACACTGCCTGAATGAATCATTATGAAAAGAAGAAAGTGTGAAAGTGTTAGTCCCTCAGTCGAGTCCAACTCTCTACGATCCCATGGACTACAGCCAACAAGGCTTCCCTGTCCATGGGATTTTCCAGGCAAGAATACTGGAGCAGGTTGCCATTCCCTTTTCCGGGGGATCTTCAGGACCCAGGGATTGAACCCAGGTCTCCTGCATTGCTGGAAAAGGAAATGGCGCCCCACTCCAGTCCTCTTGCCTGGAAGATCCCATGGAGAGAGGAGCCTCGTAGGCTACAGTCCATGGGGTCCCGAAGAGTCGGACATGACTGAGCGACTTCACTTTCACTTTTCACTCTCATGCATTGGAGAAGGAAATGGCAACCCACTCCAGTGTTCTTGCCTGGAGAATCCCAGGGACGGGGGAGCCTGGTGGGCAGCCGTCTATGGGGTCGCACAGAGTTGGACGCGACTGAAGAGACTTAGCAGCAGCGGCAGCTCCTGCATTGCAGGCAGATTCTTTACCATCTGAGCCACAGATGAGATCAACTCCTTTTCTGGAAATCACAGTTAGTCCTTAGCTGAGAGGACTAAGTTATACGATTGTGTTAGAGATTTTTTATTTAGTCAGTAAATTCTGGCCAAATAGGTCCTGGAAGTTACATGTTTCAGAATTTAATTCTTTAATAATATGGACATCTTCAGGGTTACAAAAATATTAAGTGACTCAAAAGTTATTTACACAATTAGAAAACAAATTTATTCCTCTAAAGTGAAGTTGTCTTAAAAAAAAAAAACCTTGGTATATTTATATCTTACTAGCTAGCAAACTATCAATATCTTAAAAAATAAGATTAAAAAAAGACTATGTTTTATGAATTGTTATACAAAAGTGAGAACTGCAGTTCTGATTATTATAAGAAACAGAGTCAGAAGCTGCAAGGTTTCAGCAGTGTTTGTTCACAACAGCCATAATACTTAATAGAAGTGTGATAACTCTTTTATTAGTAAGATCCCTGTAGCTTCCTGATACAATTTATCAGAGTAGATGAATTATCCCCCAGCTTTGAATTGAGGTAAACACAAATGCAGTGTCACATCATTAAGAATAATAACTGTTAGGGGAGTAATAAAATAGCAACCCACTCCAGTATTCTTGACTGGAAAATCCCATGGACGGAGAAGCCTGGTAGGCTACAGTCCATGGGGTCGCAAAGAGTCAGATACAACTGAGTCATTTCACATTCACTTTCAAGCCAATGGAATATTTGTAAGAATGAGAGTGAAGAGTAGCCCTCATGCTAATAATGAATGATTATTACTTCCATTTTTCTTCTCTCTTGTCAGGTGTTCCTAATTTAGGACATTTATTCTTCTTTTCTAAACACAAAATAGAATTTTAAAAATGTGTGTATGTGTATTTGGTAATAACCTTACATTAAAATGGCAAAAATCCTGGTTTTCACAATTTTAATAAATGTTTTGGGAACAGCCAACAACAAATTTTACTTTGGAAAATGTGAACTCTTAAAACTAAAAAAAAAAAAAGAATACTAGAGTGGGTTGCCATTTCCTGCTCCAGGGAAGCTTCCCAGCCGAGGGATCCAACACACATCTCTTGCATCTCTTGCATTGGCAGGTGGATTCTTTTGCCACTGGGCCACCGTTTAAGGCTGTGATGTCATTAAATCCAGAGACTATCAGCTTTCTCTCATAACTGATTCCTGAGCATCTTACATAGTCTCTAGCACATACAATAGCACTCAGTGAGCACTTAATGTCTATTTTTGCCACTGTCACCCTCCACAAATAGACAAAAAAAATTCCAATAACATCAGAGATACTTTTATGTTGCAATATATCCTTTTGTCCACTCCAACTGCTAGAACTTTCTAATATTCTTAGAAACATCATTTGGAGAAGAAGAAAAGCTATTTTATTTTTCCATTTAATTTGCTTTTTCCTTTGAACTGCTGGGCAAATACAGAGAAAATCTAGTTGCTATTCTCCACAGAGAATCTCTCAAATGACTAAAGCAGTCCTTAATTTATAATGTAGGTGCAGATTCTAAGGATACTAGAAAAAAATGGCCTCACAACTCTGAGTGTATGCAGCAGAATTAGAGAAAAAAATATTTGAGGGAGCAAGTCTTTTTTTTTTTTTTTTTGGTCTGAACAGTGAAATTGTTTTTGAAGCTCAGTTGAAACCATACAATATTGAGTAATGTATTTCTATGGTAACAGCTTCTGAGAATGCAATGTTTTACTAAAATTGCTGAGACAAAATTAAAATTTCTGTATTATAATACTTGAGATTTGGGAATACCTGCTAAAAACTTATGCTTTGGTCAGGGGAATATAACACATGGAAATTTAATGAAAACAAAACTTTTTTAAGTTGAAAAAGTAATCAGCTACAAAGAGTTTTTTGCTTTAGTTTAGCTTTTTATTGATTAATCCCTGACTAATGTTCTGTTAGATATTATATATTCTGTTATTTAGTGAAGACACTTTGCCATTAAAAGTGGTCGAATATCAAGGCCTAAATTGTTGTGTTCTAGATCATAGGCATTAATTATAAGGACTGATTCTTGATATAGGGGTTCTTTGCTTTCTAGTTCCCCATATTACTTTCTGTTGAAATATTAAGTGAAACAGTATATCAACTAAATCAGGAAGGATAGCTGTTTTAAGCAAAGACTGCCTTGCCAAAGTAAATAGTTATTAACCAAGCATAACAAAAATAACCAAACAGTCCAAGTGATCAGAACAGCAAAAATAAAGGCAACAAAGTGTGAAATTAAAAGTTAAGTTGAGTAGCTAAGATGGGCAGAAATGGACTTCTTAAATCAGAGTAAACCAATTAAGGCCATCTCTTCCCTAACAATAAATGCATTTTGCATCTGCTGGACTCCCCTTAAAACCTGAGGGTACAATAGTGGTATTTTTGTATCTGTTCTGGGAGAAAAAAATACGAAGCAAACAGTTTTAAAATATAACATAAATCATAGATTCCTCCACTTCAAGGGAACATAAATTCAGACAAAGTTCCCAGCAAATCCTGAAGGTAAGCCTCCTTGGGGTCTCAGTGGTAAAGCATCTGCCTGTGATGCAGGAGATATGGGTTCAATCCCTCCAGATCCTCTGAGAAGGAATGGCACCCACTCCAGTGTTCTTGCCTGGAGAATCCCATGGACAGAGGAATCTGGTGGGCTATAGTCCATGGTGTCACACAGAGTTGGACATGACGTAGAGAAGGAGCAACAGCAACTGGGAGGGGCAAGAGTGGATGCCCACCCCTCTGTGATTAGGTGTGTTACAGTCACACAAGCATAAGTGCCAGGAGGGCAGCGTTGGAAGAGGAGGTGATAGGAACGTAACACAGATACACTGGAATAGGCATAGCTGCCCACTTTCGGTGAGACTTCTGCTATTCAGGTGCGACAGCCTGCTTCCCATGGGAATTCTCTTTCATGTGGCATGTGCTTCCAATGGTACTCTGTTTCTCTGAGTATGAAATGACAGTGGTGGAGATCATTGGTTGATTTTACATAAAACATTACTAACCAGCGAGTGTAGTAGAGCATAGTGATTATAAGCAGAATAACTAGATGGGTAGCCTTGTTAATTACATTTTTGAGTCTCCTTCTCCCTCTTATGGAAAGTGAGGTTCATAGTACCTGTCTCTCGGGGTTCTGTGTGGGTTAAAGGTCAACAAATGGAGACAATAAACACAATATTCTTTACTATGTTTGGCATTTGGGGGCCTTTCTTAAAATACATGTATGCTTAGGATCCACTAGATCTACTTGCACTGTGGGTTAAATTTACTCCCATGTGTTTTGAAAGAGGTTCCTGGGAGATATTGAGTATAAGCATAATGAAGAAAAGCATAAAGGAGAGAGGGTCATAAAAGTAAACTCTGTTCACATGTCCTGTTGAAGGTACATTATTATACTTTTCACAGGACTTCTCTTATGGCTCAGCTGGTAAAGAATCTGCCTGCAGTGTGGGAGACCTGGGTTCAGTCCCTGGGTTGGGAAGATCCCCTGGAGAAGGGAAAGGCTACCCACTCCAGTATTCTGACCTGGAGAATTCCATGGACTGTAAAGTCCATGGGGTCGCAAAGAGTCGGACATGACTGAGTGACTTTCACTTTCACATACCAAAGATTGATTTTGATCATGGAGCCTTTATATTTGAAGTCATTTCATTACCGCGTAAGCTGTTGCTGGCAGAGCAATCCTTCTGGCTTTATACCATGGCTCTGCAGTACTCAATTAACCACCATCTATCAACACGATGGTTATTGGTTTTAACTATCTGTCATTTCACCACTACTTAATTTTAGTCTTATGGCTTTATATCATGGCTCTGCAGTACTCAATTAACCACCATCTATCAACACGATGGTTATTGGTTTTAACTATCTGTCATTTCACCACTACTTAATTTTAGTCTTGATTCTAATTCCTGGTGTGCCCTTAGTATTCACCGAATAGTAGAATGAATTTGTAACAACTTACCACAAATTAATGAGTTATGCAACTCCAAATTAATGATCAATGGTAATATCCAGATCTGAAAAGAATTCCAATATAGAAATGTATGACTAAACAGTAATGCTTAAATGTTAAATCACAATATTATTTAAAGAAACAGAATTATTGAGTATATAGTACTTTTAGAAGTAATATGAACAATAAAAATATGCCTACAAACAGCATAAGGAAAGGACAGAGGAAATTAAAAGGTGAGTTTTTAAGACAATGTGGTATAGCTTTATGTTTTATGGATCTCCAGTTTTGCTTATCAAAATATGAGGAGTTTTCTATTTCATAAGTAATACCTGATGACTATGAACATTATAAATTTCTCTCCAAATATTGCCTTTAAAAGTAGCAGTGAAAAATATGAATTATGGGGAACCAGTGGAAGACACAGTGTGTGACAGCAGTAATGAAGACTGAGTACCTTTAAAAGATATACAAAAAGAAAAGTTACAAATGTTACCTACTCCTATTATAATCATACAAATCATTTTGATTATTTGGTAACAATAATAAAATAACACATTCAGGGTATTGTGCTTATGACATATTAATATTTATGATTTTTCTTCTTACATCGATTGAGTTATAATTAGTAGTTCAACATTGCTCCAAAATTTTAACTTCACTAAATTGATGTTATTAATGTAAAGAAGTCATTTTGATATTTGCTGTTAAGTTCTTAAGAGTACAGTTATTGAATGAATACAGGGACTGTCATTTCCGTGTCAATGTAAATTCAGAGAATTGTCCCCATAATTATAGGCTGGCCCTGATTACATTACATTCTATCTTGAACCTTTATCCTTCTAGACTTTGCTAGATAATGCCAAGTGGCAGTTTGTAGTTTCAATGTCAGCAAGAAGAGCCAATGTACCGGGTGCAAGCTGAGATGCTGTTTCAATACATAACAATTCGGATGCCAATGGCGGTGCTTTGCTTGCCCTGGGTCAGCTCACCTTTGTGACATTGAGCTGTTGCTGGCTCAGTGCTCTGGTGATAGGAGGTCAAAATAAATGGAAGTCATTGTGGGTGATTCTTGCTACACACATATCTTTGTACAAAAAGTTGTTAATTTTATTACTGCTAAAATCTTTCTTTTCAAAGTCAGAATAATGACCTTTTGGAAATTATAGGTTGAATGACTGAATTTACAGCATTTCTGAATATAATAGTGAAATGAAGTGAAAGTTGTTCAGTCATGTCCGACTCTTTATGATCCCATGGACTGTCCATGGAATTCTCCAGGCCAGAATACTGGAGTGGGTAGCCTTTCCCTTCTCCAGGGGATCTTCCCAACCCAGGGATCCTACCCATGTCTCCCGCATTGCAGGCAGATTCTTTACCAGCTGAGCCACAGGGAAGCCCAATAATACTGGAGTGGGTAGCCTGTCCCTTCTCCAGTGGATCTTCCTGACCCAGGAATCGAACTGGGGTCTCCTGCATTGCAGGCAGATTCTTTACCAACTGAACTATCAGGGAAGCCGTGACTGTAATAGATCTACTTATAAAGTGAGGAATCCTAAAACTTTATATTTGAAATAGACAACTGGTTCAAAATTAAATGAAGTGTTCCTCAGAACTGCAGTTCTATAGGATGTTAATAGCTGTTACATGGTGTCACCGACATTTATATTTTCTTGACCATCTGCAATCCAAGTTCTTTACACAATAATATCCTAAATTCTTTTCAGTAAATTACCTAATTTCAAGGTGCATTAGTCTAAACTTCCTGGAAAATAAACCTGAGGCAAACTTTCATGCTACTGTTTTAGCTGTGAATGTCATTCAAATAAAGAAAATGTAGGGAGGAAGGGAAATGAAGCAGAAAAGGAGGAAAAGCAAATAAAAGCATCTCCAGCTTCCAAGAAAACCCAGATATCAGCTCACTCATGAAGAATATCTCCAAAGAGGCAGTTTAAAATCACTGCTCAGTGAACAGTTCTATTTTCCGGCTCCCATTAGATAAAGTCCATCTTACATAGTGCTATGTCCTCCAGTCTTCTGAGTTGTGTTGACTACCTCCTCTTGACAGCATTTGGAGGAAGACAGAGTCTCCATTGCTTTGGTTGCCTTGGCACCGGAATTTCTATGACTCCATCAGTGATGTTTTTAATGGAGGCCATGGGAACCTCACCCCCAGCACAGACTGAGACAATGGTATGTGTTACAGGATTGTGGTTTTATGACTGTGGGGACATAAAACTACTAAGTAAGGCTATCAACTGGGAAATAGATCAATGAGGAGAAGCTCTAAAGGCAGGTGATGCTGAGCTATTCTGTAGAAGGCATAAGTCAGGTCCATACACAGGATGCATGTTTTTGGAGAGGACAGGAAACTTCTGTAGTTAGCCAAAGGGACCCTATTATCTCATCCCCTCCTTCAGAAATAGGAAAAATATATGATGTATTTATCTACCTACCTGTATTTGCAAAAGAGTTTTAAAAAATCATATCAAAACCCTTGGCTTCTTAAATATTTGATGGTATAAAAGCTAAGTTGAAATATCTTTCAAGATTGAATTATAAAATTGCTGTGAGGGAATCATGCTTCCCTCTTACAGATATAATGATAAAAACTTACATAAGATTACTGGGAGAATTTGATAGGTGTTGCTGAAATTTGGATGTTTCAGGAACAAGTGAACTTGTATCTCTCCTTAGGAAAAATAAGAGTTGGTGGCTGCAAAGTAGTGGTTGGGGTGGTTTGGAAAAGGACTTTTACTAATGGCTGATCAAACAGCTGGGTTTATCATGATCTATTAGAGAAGGTCAAGAAGCAAAACTTAGAACTGGACATGAAACAACAGACTGTTTCAAAATTGGAAAAAGGTACATCAAGGCTGTGTATTGTCACCCTGTTTATTTAACTTATGTGCAGAGTACATCATGGGAAATGCGTGGCTGGATGAATCCCAAGCTGAAATTGCTGATTGCTGGGAGAAATATCAGCAGTCTCAGATATGTAGATGATACAACCCTAATGGCAGAAATTGAATAGGATCTAAAAAGCCTCTTGATGAAGGTGAAAGAAGAGAGTGAAAAAGCTGGCTTAAAACACAACATTCAAAACACAAAGATCATGGCATCCCGTCCCATCACTTCATGGCACATATATTTGGGAAACAATGGCAGATTTTATTTTCTTGGGCTCCAAAATCAGATGCTACTGATCAGATGCTACTGCAGCCATGAAATTAAAAGACACTTTGAAGAAAAGCTATGGCAAACTTAGATAGAGTATTAAAAAGCAGACACATCACTTTGCTGATAAACGTCTGTATAGTCAAAATTATGGTTTCTCCAGTAGTCATGTATGGATGTAAGAATTGGACCATAAAGAAAGCTGAGTGCTGAAGAATTGATGCTCTTGAACTGTGGAGTTGAAGAAGACTCTTGAGAGTCCCTTGGACAGTAAGGAGATCCAACCAGTCAATCCTAAAGGAAATCAACCCTGAATATTCATTGGAAGGATTGATGTTGAAACTTCAATACTTTGGCCACCTGATACGAAGAGCCGACTCATTGGAAAAGACCCTGATGCTGGGAAAGATTGAAGGCAGGAGGATAAGGGGATAACAGAGGATGAGATGGTTAGATGCATCGTCTACTCAATGGATGTTTGAGTAAACTCTGGGAGAGAGCGAAGGACAAGGAAGCCCGGCGTGCTGCAGTCCAAGAGGTCGCAAAGAGCTGAACATGGCTTAGCAACTAAACAACAAAAATTAGAGGACAGAGAAGGGCCTAATCAAGAGAATCTATCTGGACCATAAGTTGAAGGAAGAGTCATAAATTTCCAGGTAAACCTTATATCTTCTTTACACTGGAATTGCAGATGAGAGAACTTAAGACTCCATTATCATTTCCATCTTCTCCCCTATGTCTCTCCAACTCTGGAGTTATTAGGTGGGGTAGGAGGAGAAGCTGGTCTAGCTGAAATATGGAAGAATTTCAACTCTGAAGTTTATTGAGAGTTTTAATTATAACACCTGTTTGGGTACATTAGCTATAGAGTGGGATGATTTCAATACTAAACTGAGCAGGGAAGTTTTATTAACTAAGAACAGCTCTTTGGTCTGGGCAAATTTTGGTTTTGGACAGAAATAAAATGGCCTCATGTAGTAAATTTTCAGAGACAGTCTTAAGTAAATAACCTAAGGTTGTTTTATATTGTTTTCAGATTGTTCCCTATGGCTCCTGTTTTCTTAATGTGCCAGTAATGTAATATTCAATTTCTTCTTGTCTAGTTGCAGAAATGAGTTAAGGAACTTTCTTCATTGTTATCTTTTAATAGTAAGCTATCATTCCCACGATGGGCTACTTTTTCATGCTTCTTTTGATCCAGTATTTCCATTAAAGTCTCTTCTAAAATATCAGTTTTGTTTACATTGTAAATTATTGTTTATTGTAGAAGAACTTTAAAAANCAGTATTTCCATTAAAGTCTCTTCTAAAATATCAGTTTTGTTTACATTGTAAATTATTGTTTATTGTAGAAGAACTTTAAAAATAGAGAAAGTCTAAAAAAATTATAAAAAATAAACCAGAAATGTACTATATGGGGAGAATCACTATTATCATCTTGTTTTAATCTTTTAATAGAGATATTTGTATATACAATATGAATATTTCATACTCACACTATATTTTTAATTTGATTCTAAACATCACTTGCTGTCATTTCCCCTATCATCGGTTTTAAAGGTTCTATTGTATTTTACTGTATGGACAGCTCAGGTTACTTAATATTTCCATATTTGGGGACATCTTAGTTGTACCCTTTAAAAAAATAACACAAATGAATATTCTTGGAGAGAAAATTTACTTTGATTTCTGTAGTGATTACTTTTCCAAAATTTAATACAGACATTATATATATTTACTTGTATTTGATGATAATTTTTTTGTTTTATCCTTTGTTCATATACTTGTGGCATATTGTCTGAATGGACCATTAGTTCGATATTTTTCTCTCATTCATTTTCAGGTAAAGAAAACTGTATCTGATATGGGTAGAACTGTGCTGGACTCTAAATAATTTACTTGAACATTTTGGAATCATCTTAGGTCTTAAGCTTTATGTTATGCTCTTTTACTTATAATCCAGCAAGAGTAGCTACAAGAAATAAGCTGCAACCTAAAATAAAAGTTTGATCTAGTTTTTAAACTTTAGTATTATGGGCCAAAGTTCTAGAAAAAACTTGGCCTTTCCTTTCCTCAAGATATGTGTTTATGGGCTTTTTCTTATTCTACTATTAATAACAGAAACTAAATCAATACAATATTCTAGGTACCTATTCAGACTTAACAATAAGAATTTCAAATAATGATTTAATTGTTTGCTTATCTGATGTCAGGCTTTCAAGTATTTAGAAATAATATTTCAAAATTTGTTTTTTAATTGTTCCTTCTTGTCAATGCATATACTTTTCAAATATGCCATTTTAAATGAGGCTATATATTCTATAAAATAATGTACCTTAAATAAGTTTGATGAATACATTTTATATTATATAACATATAATGCTGTAATTAATCATATTAACTGCATCATAATCTGGCTTTGTTTCTCATTTCTTCCTTTCCCAGAGATAGTTCTTTATTAATACATTGTGCACTATATAGTTGTCTTCAGTCTTAAGAATCACATAATTCTGGATTAAGATACTTGTCATAGACCTCAATTTCACATATAATGTCTGAATTCAGTTCACACAAATTATGACTGCAAATTGTTTCTTTATAAGGATGACTTTGATCTCTATACTTCATAGACACTATATATAGATTGGACTTCTCTGGTGGTTAAGATGGTAAAGAATCCACCTGCAATGCAGGAGACCTGGGTTCAATCCATGAGTTGGGAAGATCCCCTGGAGGAGGGCATGGCAACCCACTCCAGTATGCTTGCCTGGAGAATCCCCATGGACAAAGGAGCCTGGTGGGCTACAGCCCTTGGGGCCACAAAGAGTATCAGAAATGACTGAGTGACTAAGCACATATACAGATTATGTGACATGATTCATAGACAAAATTTAGGCTTAAACTAATAAACTATATTTACAGTACAAATTTATATTAATTTATACTGTATTTATATTTAATCAATATTTTCCCAAAAGGAGCCTTTCTTGAAAGCAGAAAATAACAAATTTCAGCAACTTGTTTAGATGAGAGCAAATTAAATCAAATGCATCAAATAAATGCATGAGAATAAAACATTATTGTTAAGTATCACACATAAAGACACATTTCTTACTAAAGCTTTATAGACCTACAATTTAGCAGTTTGATTTTTATAAATATCACTGATATTTTCATCTGAACCATTCATATGATAGAAAAACAATGTCTTTAAATATAAATCGTGTTCTTATAGTTCATCTATTCTTGATGAAAGACAGAAAGAATGCTAACCCTAAGAAAAATTAATATTCAAGAATAAAGATTACATTTTAATATAGAAAGCAACAGAAATCTTTCAGCATTTCAGTGACAAAAAATTATCTTTAAAAAATATAAGATGTAAACAAACCTTGAATGGCTTCATTCAGGCAAATGCTAGATGACTTAAAGGGACATAATGAGCTAAATCTTTATAATGTAAAAGTTACAAATATTTTTAAACATGGTATTATCCAGATGTTGAAAAAAAAATGTTCTATCTTTACTTTAAATACAGGTTTCATTAAGTAGCAACATGTAATGTAGTATGAAAAAGAGTATAAAAAATATATAAACCTAAGTAATTAGGTTTATATAAATGTATAAACAAAATAATTAAAATAGTCAATAGTGTACTTATTTATTGAAATACATGTTCATTTTAAATGATGTTTAACTTTGGTTTGTAGATAAACAATAGATAAAGCTAATTAATTCACATCAGAAAATGTTTATACTGTTATTTCTAGAATATTAGAACTGTTTTCTTTGCATGATATACAGAATATTGATTTCATAAATGAGTTACACTTTTCAAATCCCAGGAAGTTCACATTTACGCTAAAAGACATCAAGATAAAATGGAGAATAATTGTGATTCAGAAGACATGAACATTACTGCTGATTTT